AATACTACGTGTAACCCCTCTTCTGAGGAGTGATTACCGGGTATTGCATTGATGTGATCCATATTATTTATAAACCTAGGAACCCCCTCCCCCTTCCCTTTACTTGTTTATTTTATCACTTTCAAAATTTCAAACTCCTTTTTCTCAAATTTCAACTTCCGTATTTCTTCAAACTTTAACTTATTTGCAATCACAATATGACACCCCTCATATTTGAAACTCTTAATTGCTTATTTATTGTTTGTACTTAAGTCACAATTGTAGCATGGCCGGGAACCACACTAGTGGATCTTGAGGGGTGCCTAACACCTTTCCCTCGAGATAATTTCTAGCCCTTACCCAAACTCCGGTTTTTCTAAACAAATTCTTCCTAGTGTCCTAATGCACTTAATCATTAGGTGGCGACTCTTCAAATCAAAAACCCCAATTCCTAAAAGGGAACGAGTTGTCCTCCCAAATGTCATAAACCCGATTTCGCGAGAAAAAGGGGGGCGACACAACCCCCTTTCCAAAAGGAAAGAGTTATCCCAACCAAATGTCATGAACCCGATTCCGCGAAGGAAAAAAGGGGGTGCGACAGACATGTATTAAATAAATTAAATCCTAAATAATTAAGGTGTCCTACTACAACTTTAAATTAGTTTTCCAACATTCTCCTGAAATTCAAAGTTGTATACGTCTGACTTGTTCATTGTGCAGTTATGTTAGAGCACTTCTCTCCAACTTTCACTTTTAATGAAGCACGTGTTTTTATCCGTCAATTTGTTGAAGCACATGTCTCCAACTCATGTTGATGCACTATGTCACCAACCCAATTTTATTGAAGCACCTGTCTCCAACTCACGTTGATGCACTTTGTCACAAACCATTGATGTACTTTGTCACCAATACTTTGTTGAAGCACATGTCTCCAACTCCCATTGCTGCACTTTGTCACCAACCCAATTTTGTTGAAGCACCTATCTTCAACTCACGTTGATGCACTTTGTCACCAACCGCTGATGCACTTTGTCACCACCACTCAATTTTGTTGAAGCACCTGTCTTCAACTCACGTTGATGGACTTTGTCACCAACCGTTGACGCACTTTGTCACTAACACCCAACTTTGTTGAAGCACATGTCTTCAACACCCGTTGATGCTCTTCGTCACCAACCCAAATTTGTTGAAACACATAATCAACTTACAACTTTTTTAAACCTCTTTCCAACTTTTAGAGAAGAGTTTCTTCCTCTTGTTCCATATTTATTTGCACCTTTTTCAACTTGTTTCTTCTTTTTTTCTTGAATTTGTCTTGAAACTTTTCATCGAATAGTCTAATTTTGTTGACAACTATCTATGATTTTGCCAACATATGTTTTAGCCAGACGGGTAGCATACATTAGCTAATGCCACCCGCCGGCAACAGAAGCAACTTGATTCTCTCCCAAGATCATAGAATCTCTACCAATATGAAGGAAAATATTTTATTGTAAATCTCTAATTGATCTCTACAATATTCTTTCTTTTCTCCACTCATAAAATAAGTTATCAATACCCTTATTTATAATAGTACGAAACCTATTTCAACTAGAAACAGGAAAGCATATTCCTAGATTTATTCTAACTGTAAATCCTATTTAGATATGTATTAAATAAATTAAATCCTAAATAACTAAAGTTTTCTACTACAACTTTGAATTAATTTTCCAACAGGATATTGTTTGACCAAAAGATATTGAAACCCTTTTGATTAAATCATTAACGAAGATGAAGAGGTAAATCTCAGCCAAGTATGATAAAATCTAGATTAAATGGTGAAATAGATGAACAAGGTGAATAATGCTTCGTAGTATGTCGAAACCAAATGATTAAGCGTAAATACGATAACTTCAAATGTAGAAAAATATTGCAATGAATGCGATCATCCAAGATAAAAGATGATGTATGGATCTCAGACTATATTGAGAAAAGTTGTCTTTTTTTGTATTCACTTTCCAATCCCCTTTTACAAAATCTTCTCCCCCTATTTATATGGGACAATGCCCTTTTAAACCCTAAAAGGTATAAAATGAAGAATATTCGAAAAGCATATTCCTAATATCTCCTACTACGCTTGCACTACTGCAAACGTCGTACGTTCGCTAACCACTGTTGGTTGTCACCCTTTATAACGACCAAAAGACGTGACATCGTAAGGCTCTAGTTCCTCTCCATACTCGATATCTATTTGTTGTTACTAGGAATGTTAAAATGGTTAAAAGAAAATAGTTATCCATCCATATTAATCATTAAAAAATAGATTGGATAATGAACTTTTTAAAAATGAATCAAATATGGATAACAACTATATTATGCACTTAGAAAAGGATAACCAATGGCTAACTAATAGGTTTAACTTTTACATTTGTAAAACCTCAAATCGGGGGTTCCTCAAGTTTGGGAGACTAAAAATTCTCCCAAAAGTGATCATATTCAAGAAGTCATGGATAATATGGATATCCATATTATCCGTCGGTTACCTATTTTTTATCTGTATTAAATATGGGTCGGGTCGGATAATTTATTCATTTTTTGCGTTACCTGTTTTTTTACCCGTCCTTATCCAACCCAACCCGCCCGTTTGTCGCCCCTAGTTGTTACGCTTTTTTGCTAAATACTTTGATGAAAATAGCACGGGCTAGCCAGATTTCGGACTGGTAATTGAAAAATATTCAGTGTTTGCAAAGTCATTGAAAATAGCCACTATTTTGCTGCAACACGAAAAGTTCCAGCATAATATACTGGAGATTGGTGCACCTGATTATGCTGGAACTCCAACACACGGAAAGTTTCAGCATAATATACTGGAGATTGGAGCACCTATGTTGGACCAGTATATTATGCTGCAACTTCAGTATATTATGCTGGAAGTCCAGTATATTATGCTGGAATGCTGGAATATTTTTTAGATTTTGAACAGTGTTTTCTTTCAAATTTATCTTTACATAAAAAATATCTAAATGTCGATTACTTTTAAAACTGTGACTATTTTTCAATTACCATTTGTAAATCAGACTATTTTTAAATTTCACTCAATACTTTGTGCACGAACTTTCCATCCCGAAACCAAAACCCAAGAGGGGAAGGAGCAATTAGAAGTATAATACAACAACTGACCTGGCCGGATCCATAACTTTTACTTTGTACTGTATGTACAATATTCAACAATTTTAGAAATATAAATACAGTTACACTAAGTTCGTGCGCACGTACTGTTAATAATGGTGATGGTGGGTTCATGTGGTGATATTCTATACCTTCTAACTTAAAATCTTGAATTTGTTCTCAAAACAAGTCCATTGGAAAAGAAAGAAATAATTTTAACAAAAAAAATAGTTACTGGCAAATTTGGGCATGTTCCAATTTGAAACAAATTATCTAATTATGGAATTGACAAGGCAAATTCTAGCAATATTTTAGTGAACAACTTTAAGAATGGCAGGATGGAACCACCAAACAATGACTATTTGCTGGCCATCTGTCGGATTTTGATTATTAAAACCTTTACGCTCATTTTCTTCCGATAATATACAATATGGTTAAGGATAACAAGAAAACGACATAACAACAGACATCTTTATATACGTTTTACACTACGCCCGTCGCCCCGTACCGTAAAAGTAAATGTTTTCGCTAATCCATAACGTTGAAGTCCCACCTCCATCAACATTGACGCTATTATTAGTTTCAAGCTGTTTCTTATTTGTTCGTCTAATATTCAGTGCAGCAAAAGTACAAATGCTGCAAATGTAAAGCATCTTAACTAGTATTTGTTGCTATTGTCATCAATAGGATTAGTGTAAGGTTTTTTAGTTTGTCGTTGTTCAATATTAGGACAAAATAACACATCCTTTGGGCAAAAATCCTAATTATTTGACCATCCAATCGTTAAGGATGCATAACTCAATTTTGACAAACACTCAAGCAAGACTTTGAGATTTAACGATCATATCAGATTGCTCTTAAGTTATTCGGTGCGTTGGTACAAGAACTGTCACTTTAATGGTGTGGCACTAATTTAATTAAACTTGCTGTTTCTTTTAGAAACTTTTAATTAATTGAGGTTAAGAATCATGCTAACAATGGTCTAAATGACCATTAAAATTAAGTTGGCGACTTAAAGTGAGGCCGAAGGAATAACAATTTTATCCTAATTTAAGAAGTACGTTACAATTAACTATAAGTAGATTACTAGTAATTTGTTTTCACTTCGAGATGAGTGATCAATTCTCCGCGACAAGTTGAAAACGAATGCCAAGCAATAAGTTCAACGAATGGATTAATTTTTGGAATGTATAACGTGATGCGTACGTGTATTTGTAGAAAACAAAGCTTTTTTATATATGAGAGCTATTATTTGATGTGATTTTTATATCCAAATGGCTAAGTCATCCATGACATATGCAATGCCGCGTAGAGTTTATATAGGTCAAACAGCCTTGTTGAATTCCTATTGTTTGGATAAGTTATGCAAAAACTTTGTCACGTTGAAGCGATTAATGTGGTCTATACTATTTGTTTCCCCGTAAAAAATCCTCAAAGTTACATTGTAGATCTAATTTCTTAAATGGTCTTAGAGCTTACATCATTTTTTTAGAAGTCATTAAACTTCTTTTATCACTTTAAAATTATTCAATGTATAAGTTACTATTACACAGAAGTTACTAAGCTAATTTTTGTCACTTTAAATACTAAACTTATGGATGGTTACTCAGAAATTAAATGAGTTTACAAAAGATGATTAAAAGACTAGTATAAATTAGTCAGGTCTCGTCAACGGGTACACGTAAGCCCAAAATTCAAGCTATTATGGGCCCTCAATTCATGCCTTTGCTTTGGGTCGAAGAGAAAAAAGAGCATGTTTCGTGCGTTTACGAACACAGCGTTAAAAACCCGCACGTTTTGCTCACGTGACTTCAAAGTCCACCATTGTTTTCTAGTCTTTCCCCCTTATAAATATAGCCATCCAATTTTCTCTCTCCCCATTGTCCAAAGCAGCAGAGAGTATTCAAATCTCCTCTCAACTTCCTCTATTTCCGTGCCTCTCTTTTGATTGCTTCCTTTTCGGCTTATATTAAACAAAGAGTTGTTTAACGAATAGTACTTTTCTATTTCCACCATGTCTGCATTTGGAAAACTTCTTGTGATTATGGCTATGGCTATTTTAGCCATTAACTTAAACAAAGTTTCTGCTGGAGATCCAGACATGCTTCAAGATGTTTGTGTTGCTGATCTTACTTCCAGTAAGTTCAATTTTCCCATTAGTTAGCACACTTTTACTTCTTTTTCTTCTTTTTTTTTAAAAAAAATATATATATATTTTTAGTTTCTTTTAGATTGAGAAAAGTATATTCTTGATCAGTGTCTTGTGCTTCAATTTGGGGGTTTTGGATCTCTTTGGCTCGTTCTTAATTTTTTTGGTTTTCTTTGTCTTAGTTATCATTTGTACTGGATGTTGACATTTCTCCTTGTCCAATTTTTGCTCTTTCTTCTTCCTTACATTTATCATTTAGGCGTGTTGAAAATCAAGATCCAACTATATTAGCTGGCCAACAGTAGAAAATCGACCATATTAAATGTTACAACTTGTACCATACATAAGATATAGGAGTCTTGAATAGAATTAGGTAGTACTATTGATTAGCTGGCGAAAAATAGAAAATCGACCATATTAATATATATTAATGACCAACTGGTGACAATGGCCACCAAACATAGTTCCTGTATGCTGTCTTTTCACCTGTTTGTTTTTTTCAAACTTAAGAAAATATTTAATACTACCATTAATCATAAAAGGGTATTTGACAAAAAAATTCTTTATCTCTTTCTTAAATGAGTAATTAATGATGGAGTACAGTAAATGTAAAGAAAAAAAATTGGCTAATAAATTGATTTTCTTGACTGATATATATTTTGGATCAAATTTTTGTCTATACAATTTATCTTCGTCTCAGTTGGGAAAAGATGTGTAGCTTTTTCAGGGGGTTTAATGTCTAGTTGGATTAAAAACAGTCACACATAATGATTTAATCATTATCTTCATGATTCAAGTAAACCATGCTGCTTATTTATTTCGGTGTTCTATTTGCATTCCCTTGGTGTTAGTTCTTTTAGTATTTTCACTTTGGTGACAGAATTAGTTTGCTTGTTATTGTCCTTCCATTTATCTTTTACATTTTACACTCCTTAGACCCCACTTGTGAAAACTACACTGGTGTTGTTGTTATAACATGGTGCTTATTCAATTTTCTATTTATGTACATGATATAGGTTTTACCATAAATGGATTCCTTTGCAAGAAGAACTTTTCAGAAATAGACTTTTCATCAATGGTCATAGCCAAGCCAGGAGCAACAAACAACACATACGGTTCCGTAGTCACAGGTGCCAATGTTATGAAAGTACCTGGTCTTAACACACTTGGTGTCTCACTTTCTCGTATTGACTATGCTCCTGGTGGCATTAATCCACCTCATACTCATCCTCGTGCTACAGAAATGATCTTTGTTACAGAGGGTGAATTAGATGTTGGTTTTATTACAACATCTAATGTTTTGATTTCGAAACATATTGTAAAAGGTGAAGTGTTTGTTTTCCCTAAAGGACTTGTTCATTTCCAGCAAAACAATGGCAAAGTTCCGGCAGCTGTTGTCGCCGCCTTCAACAGCCAGTTGCCGGGGACTCAATCTATTGCTACAACGTTGTTCGCTTCCTCACCAACTGTTCCCGATCATGTCTTGACTAAAGCATTCCAAATTGGAACTAAACAAGTGGAGAAAATTAAGTCAAGGCTTGCACCTAAGAAATAGACTTTTCGTTAATTGCTCGTGACTATTATTTTCTTTGGTGAGGTTGTTAATTGATAATGATTTGTGTGGGTTCAAATAGGAAAGAGAATGGATACTTTCATTTGTTTTTATCCTTTCTAAATTTATTTCCAATAATGTTGTATTTACCTTATGAGAACTTCGTTTCTCTATTCGTCAGCAATAATGTTATCTTTGTGTATTTTTCTCCTACTCTAACGACTTGAATATAAGAAAATGATCATACAAAAGATTTTTTGTGCTTTATTTGTATCTTCTTTGTTGTTTTTTACTTATCTTGTGTGAAAAGGATCATATAACTAAAATAATATTTGTAATTGACTGCAATCCGAATCTCCCTATTGGTCAACAATAATGTAATCTCTGTACGGATTTTTGACTTTTTACTAAAAGGGGAAGGGTAAATTATCTCCAAAGCTCATCTAATAATTTGAATATAAGAAAATGAACATAAGAAAGATCTTTTATGTACTATCGAAACATGTCTTTTATTTTTATTTTTTACTTATCTTGTGTAAAAAGAATCATGTAACTAAAATAACATTTGTAATTTACTAAAAATTATATCTCCCGAAGAGAAATTCTTTAGTTCTTATTTGTCTTCAGAGGAACTCTTTTCTTAATCCTTCCAAAAATGTGTCGACAAAGTACGTACCTTACAGAAATTTGCAGAAAACGATATCAAGTAACTGGTCGAGCTTAATGATCTTCAAAATAAATTGGGAAAATGAATAAGTACCCCCTGGCCTATACCCGTAATCTCAACTATACACTTTTTCTTTGCGGGAATTCTATTAGCCTCCTAAACTTATTTTAAATGGAATTATTTGCACCCTTAACGCTGACGTTGACGTGGCAGAGTGTGTGTATTTAACTCTCCCAAAGGAGAGTGAGAAGCAAGAAAAAATAATTTTCGGATTATTTTACTCTTTTTTATCATTTTTTTCTTACTTTTTTTTCCTTTTCCTTTTTCTTTGTCTTTTTTCTTTTACTTTTTTTCGTTTCTTCTCTATTTCCGGCAAATATTCATTCACCGTCGACTTTGTCTAACCGTTTTTTCTTCCATTTTTTCTTTTCACACAAATTAAACTCTCAAAAAGATCTATTCATAAGCAAAGCAAAATACATTCAGATTTGGGGGAAAAATTCATCATCGAAAAACCTTCCCACGCCGGAAGAAAATGATGTATTGAAATTTTAACTGAAAAAAATTTTCTCATCTTATATTCGTTTTTATTTCNGAAAAAATAGTGTTTGTGAAATTCCGACGACCACCATTTTATGCCGCCGGTGACCAAAACAAAAGGAAAGAGAATGAAATCACCAAAAAAAATTAGAATAATAAGAAATAAGAAAAAAGGACAAGAAAAGGAAAAAAGAATAAAAAAAAGTGCTAAAAATATATGTGGGACGCGTGTAGCTCACCACTTGCCAAGAGTTTGGTTGTCAGCGTTAAAGGTGCAAATAATTTTATTTAAAATAAGTTTAGAGGAATAATAGGATTCTCGCAAAGAAAAAGTGTATAGTTGGAAATCCGGGTATAGGTCAGGGGAACTGATACATTTTGCCAAATAAATTAGGTAATTCATATCTTCAAAAGGGGTTTCGAAAAGAATAATGAATGTCATACATGTCTAATTTCTTTACGCGACCAAGTAATTAGTGTATTAAACTAACTAAATAAATTGCCAGTTCTGAAGTCACTTTCGTCTAAAGCAACTTAGATTTGACAAATTTGTTCAGAAAAGGAGGGCAAAATGGAATGATTCTATCATCAGATGAAAATAGGATAATGGGATGGGACTGAAGAACGAATGTAACAATTATGGTTTTTCAAATCAGGTTTTCAAATATGTTATGATATGGATGATGACAGCGTAAAAAGTGGTATAGTTTCCACATAAAAAAGGAGGGTTAGGTGAATTATATTGTTCAGAATTTTTGTAGCCTGTTTGGCCAGGCTGGAAAAATCAGCTTATTTTGAGAAGTATTTTTTTTAAAAAGTATTTTTTTCAAAAGTTATTTTGAAAGAACAGTTTGTGTTAGGCTAATTAATTTAAAAAACACTTTTAAGCAGCAATTAGGGTTTGACGAAACTTTTAAAAAGTGTTTTTAAGTACTTTTCTCAAAAGTGCTTCTAGGAAGAAGCTGCTTTTTTTTTCTTCTGTTTTTCCTTAAAAGCATTCCAAACAATTGAACTTTGGAATTAGTCGAGCTACCTCATTTGGCTCTGTGTTTCAAGCGAATAAGATTTGCTTAATAACTACTTAACCACTCAAATAATGTTGTCTAAACTTACCCTTTTTAGTAAAACTAAAAGCCTTTGAACGCCTCGTAATCTAGAAAACATGCGCAAAAGCTCATTGTTGGTTAGAGTAAGTTTCTGCACAACTCAGATCTGAAAAGGTTCAGATTTGGACTAAATCATTTTAAAAGATGTTTTAAGGCAATTATAAAATGTATTGTGCCTTTGGATGGCGAAAATTACTGTGAGCGTACAAGAAAGAAAACCTAAAAGATGGTTAAGATTCTAATGTGAGGTGATTCTTGATATTGCTATGAACTATTTCTGAATAGCCAAAACCAAAATACGTTATGAAATTAAAGCACCATGTTTAACAAAGCGTAAACCAAAGTCATGGGAACATAAATATGGTGCTTTGATTTCATAATGTATCCCAGAGAAATTATATTTAAATAGTTTCAAGGTTCTAAAATAGTGCATAACTGGTCTTCACTAAATAAACCAAAAATATTGGGAATAGAAATGTACTTGATGAACGAAATGGACAACATAGTTCCCAAGTTCTGCTATCCTCATGCCCTTTGTGATATAATACAGAAAACGTAGTCCTTCCTATGTAAATTTGGTTTCAAAAACGAGACAATCATATAAAACCATGGGATTCCTCTGTAAGCAATGAAAACAACTAGTAGTTTCAGCGAAGGCACGACATAATTAAAAGAGAACAGAACTCGATCAGGCAAAAACTGAAAATAGGTAACCTTAGTTTTATGATTTATCCAAATGACAAACTAGGGCAACGAGGTATATATCACATGTTTCACATCTGCAGCCAAAAGAATGCCACAACTATGTCTGCGACACAACAAAAAACTAATATAGCTAGTAAAGACTTCTAAAACAAGACAATTAAGGATTGGTAATCTAATCAACTTGCATTAGAAGGATTTCAGTCACTTCTCAGTAATCCAGCACTAATGTATCAAACTGACTGTCTTCATTTTGTTTTGCCATCTGAGCCTGCAAACCGCAACACTGGTTGTTGTCTACCATCTGGGATGGCAAAAAGAACAACTGATTTTGTTGGTCTTAAGAAAGGAACATCACATCTGAAGTAGCCCTTCCTCTCCAGCTGCAACACGTCTCCACGCTTCAGGTTTCTCATGTTGGAATCACCAAGTGCCGAAGTCTCCTTTCTTGTGCAAGGATTAACAACATCAACAAAATTCTCATCTTCCTCGAGCTGCAAGACAAAAATTTACAATTCAATACATGATTGGTACCAACTACCAAGTCCTCTCCAAGTCAGGTGGAAACAAATAAACAGTCCAAAACAGCACATCAAGAAAGGTATTATATAACTTTAAATGTACATTGTTAATGGGCCAAAGGGTTTGTTCCATTACACTGTAATGGATTATAAACAAGTAGGGAGAGCTCATAGTACTCTCTGGTTTTATTACCTTTTTGTTTTCCATACCATCCCTATCATCAATACTTCCCCAAAATTCGTATGAAGCATATAACAAAGTTCATATTCTAAATCAATATTATTATTGAGGGGGGCTCTCTTTACCAATGTATGCAAAAATATCGTTTCTACCATTGTGTAAATGCTTGACAAACCAACAGTAAAAATATACTCATCGTTCATAAGTTCTACAGTAATATTTTTCATATAGACAACCCAAAGAATTCGTATCACCAATATTTCCTAAAGCTCCATCAAAACCATATAATATGCACTTATATCTAGATCAATGATATTATTGAATCAAAAGTAATAGCTCTTTCTTAACATTATATAGAAAATTGTATCATTTTATAATCTCCTAAAATGCTTGACATTGTTGACCAATATAGCATATCGTAAAACATTTAAAAGTTCTAAGAAATCAACTACTACATTAAAAAACAAATTTATCTGACCATGTGGAGGCAAGAAAGACTACAGTTAGTTTACTAGAAGGATAGGCTAGAATTTCATGCTTTGCAGTAATAGTATGTGAACAATAGTCTTTACGATATCTTACATTACAGATCTCTACACTAATCGAATACTCATGATTCCCAAGTTCGAAGTCAATTGTGAAAGAAAACTCAATCATCCTTATTACCAATACTTCCCAGAACTCAATCCAAAAGTCAAAAAGGCACACTTCAATTTCTTTGTATCAATCTGATTATTCAAGACGAATTAGCCCCTTCTTACCCATCAAATAAAAAGTAAATAGCCCCTTCTCACTGTTACCAGGGAACAATAGTATTTTTCAGTTTTACTTCACATAATTCAACAATATGGTATACCATAAAACATTCACAGGTTCCAACAATTTGACTACATTAAAACTCCAAATTTAATTGGAAATGTGGAGGAAAAGACTATAGATAGTTTAGTAAAAGGAAAGGCTGGACTTTGTAAACCCATCTGAATATAAAACCTATTTAAGTGAAAAAAGTCATACCTTCTTTTTTGTAATTAAATAGTCAAAATCGACCAAAGAGAGTTTAACAAGCTCATCACTCTCTGGCAACCAAGTGAGCTTCAACTTCGTTGTTTTAACTGACCCTTCAAGGTGCAGAATCCCAGACAGATGAGTAACATTACCCTCTTGGTCCTTCTGTATCTCTTTCACTATTGCGTTACCCCAATCCATCAATGTTACTTCCTCGTTGACAGAGATTGATACAGCATCATCATAGTCTATCCAGATTCTTTTGGAGTAAGTTGTTGCCTTTTCCCCAGCACCTGCATATTTTTTATGCTTGGGTACAATACGTACAAAAGGATCATCTGGCCCATTACTCAAAGTCAATAGGACTCGTCTTTCTTCAATGACTGCAGTATGCCTAGGACATACAGGATCAATGAGCTTCTTGTTAATGGCCCACAGCTTGTCCCACTCCATTAGATTGAGATTCTTTGATGCTCCCTAAAGATTTCGTGAAGAACATTCTTTAGGCTTCAAGATACAATATCAAACATATAAAAAAGAATGCTTCCTAATTCAGAATCTCAGATTAGTCAAAGGACTTGCTTTGGACTACAAATGCAAGTCCTGTACGCAATAAAGGAAAATAAGTTTTTGCCCCCCTCCTTCACCTAAAAGAAGAGGGAGGGGTATGAAAAACAAAAACAACAAAGAAGCGAAGAACCATCTCTTATTTCAGACTTATGACAGAAAATACAGAGATGGTTTTGCTTAGTCAGATTATGAAATAAACGGTTATTCCAAAGGGACGCCTTCCTAAGTACGCATTGATATTCTGAGTGATTTAGAAAACATGAATTTGTGTTGACAACATTCATTGTACTTCAAGTTAACAATAAAGCAACACCGTAGCTATCTTACTTGTTCAAGAATGAACTGTATCAGCGCCTCAATCTTCAGCCCTCTGCGCACTATCCCTTGTACAGTCGGAAATCGAGGATCATCCCACCCTTCAACCAGTCCATTTTGCACAAACCACAGCAGCTTGCGCTTACTAAGAAGTGTATAGACCAAATTCAACCGACTAAATTCATAAATATGAACTTTTCTGAAACCCATATCAGTTTGAATCCTATAGTACTGGTCATTCCTGTCATGATACTCACTAGATCGAAGAGCATGTGTAATACCCTCAACAGCATCTACAAATGGGCATGCAAAATCATAAGTAGGGTATACTTTATATTTAGCACCAATCCTGTGATGAGGAGTCTGATTGCAGCGGTAATATACTGGGTCCCTAACTGACTTGTTAGGATCCTGCATATCCAATTTCCCTCTAACACAACACATTGTTCCCCTCTCTGAGCCAGCAATCATCTCCTTCCATAATTTCAGATTCTCCTCCACACTGTTGTTCCTACACCTTGATTCAATTCCATCCATTCTTTCTTTTTGCATTTGCTCCCTTGGTGTATCATCCACATAGGCTTTACCCTCACGAATCAATTTCTCAGCCATCTCCATCAATTTTGGAAAGTAATCAGATGTATATGTCACAGTCCTATACTTAATTCCTAGAGTTTCAATATCTTTCAGTAGATTATCCACAAATTCATTGCTTTCCTTATCAGGATTCGTGTCATCGAAACGAATAATAACTTCCCCTTTATATCTTTCAGCAAAATACTGGTTCAGTAATGCTGCTTTTGAGTGACCAATATGGAGATAACCACTAGGTTCTGGTGCAAACCTCAAACGCACTTTTCCAGCCTCTGCCTCTGGAAGATCTACCTCAAATGTTGGTCTGCTACCTGATTTTTCCTTGTCAGTGGAATCACCATTTACTTTGGCCAAATTAGCATTTGAGCCATCTTGCTCTTTCACTTTAGATACAGTTGGCTTTCCCGAGCCTTTCTTTCCCATATATGTTGCTGTGACTTCATTTAGAACACCATCATATTCAGCTAATATTGAGTTGAACCACCTTGCCAGATTTTGGTACTTCTTAGAAGATCTTAGGCTTTCCCATCTCTTTCCAGTACCTGTGCACAAGGAAGTTAAGCATCAATAAGCAAAATAGAGCATGGCACTGAATAATTATAAAACAAGCACAAATTCATATCAAATTAATCCAACTAAGGGTCGATTTCTAGCCGGAAGATAGACAGATTTTGGCAAAAATGCAACCTTCCCAATTGATTTTCAGTGATGAGACCACTTGTAAGAAATTCATGATGTATTCACAGGGCCTTAATTATGATTTAGTTCTTGTGATGCCCCAAAAATGGAACAAAACGCAAAATATTTTTTCCCAAAGACAAAGCAAAAATGTGCTTCGAGAAGCAATAATGCTAATTTTCTCAACCAAAAAAATGGAAGCATAGAGGTTAAAAGTCCCAAGTTTTTATCAGCTTTGCGTCCTTTTTAAAAAGTTACCATCGGTGCAGTTCAGGCATATTACACTCTGCTTCACTCCTAGAATTTTCTCCTAATGCAATTGAAAATAGATCCACCTGCACTAACATATCACCAAGCACGGACAACCAATTCCCAACGTTAACTGACATTTCCAGCTCAATTGGAATTAGAGCTCCAGCACTGCTTTAACAGCAGAAAGCGCAAAAAGGAACATTGTTTACAGAGTGAAGCACATAAGTTCTAGAATACAAGAATTAGCTACCATATGGGAGTTTAGCACTTATAACACTGTTTTACAATTGAAATCATTAATTTCAATATCCAATATAAAGTCAATAAATCTTTGACCTCAAAATCGATTTTTCGTTCTCAATTAGTCAACAAATAAGATAAACTAGTTTGCATTTCAATTTCTATTAGTTGCTTCAAAACTGCTTTAATAATTAACTTAAATGCAAGAGTCACTCTTTTGATGCAGGGCTTTACCTTCTAGTGGTACTATACCAGCTATCTATTTCGTATTTAGTATTTCGTATCCTGTATTTCATATTTCATATCTCTTATATATTGTTGTTATTTTTATTACGCATTTTTATGGTACTAATATATCATCTCCTATTGCTTTTTTGAGCCGAGGGTCTCCTGGAAACAGCCTCTCTACCCTTCGGGGTAGGGGTAAGGTCTGCGTACATATTACCCTCCCCAGACCCCACTTGTGGGATTACACTGGGTCGTTGTTGTTGTTTGCAAGAGTCACTCTTTTATTTCCTAACAAATAACAAAGGGATTTGATCAAAAATTGGCTATTGCTACGAACAAGGATACGTTGCCCCATAGGTTAGTGCAACAAACAAGAGACGGAAATATATCTTGTGGAAAGGAACTAATGAAAAATATAAAGGCCAAAGTCATTGCAGTCTCCTAAAGTGCTACATTGAGCAATTTTGTGAACCTTTCTAAAACAGAACTTGCCACCATATTTAATATTTATGGAATCAGTCCTTCCAAATAGAAATCAACTGGCGGATCCAGGATTCTGAGCAAGGGGGTTCAACATTTGTAAAGAAGTGAATAGTAAAAAAAATTGTCAAACGGGTTCATCGAAATTTTTTATATCTATATGTAATGTCAAACGGGTTCATCAAAAAAATTTGAATCTAGATGAAACTTAAACTATTTGTCAAAAATCATGCTAACAATATTATGTTGGATTAATTTGTTTTGAAGTAATCTATTTTCCAAAAGAAAAAAGTAATATGCTAGTAAAAAAGGGCATTCTAAGGAAGAAAAGGCACAAAAATATAACGTATAATAAATAATAAACAAGAAAATGAACAAAAGATGATTATTTAATAATTAAGTAAGACTATACTTAATTTAAAAGAAGTTCAGACTTGAAGGTAGACAATAGGAGTCTTATTTGACTCAATTTCTGCATGATGTAGCGTTCGAAACAGAAGGAAAAAAATATATTTGCGTCATCTGGGAACTGGGAATCGAACTTGCAACCTTAAGGAAAGTTTGAACCCCCTTGACCACAAAACTAAGCTTTAGGCTTGTGTCAAGGGGATGCAACATTTAATATATATATATCCATTAAAAAATAAATCTAACCCTATCCACACAGTGTAACTTTCCGGCGAAACCCCCTTCTGCCCCCCTAGATCCATCCCTGGAATTGGATGAGGATGAAAAGGTAGATATGATTACATCCAAAATGAAAGGGAATATTGAAACAACAGTTTTGACAATGGTGCTCGGCAACTCTAGTTTAGTTCAGAAGGAATTCAATTACACTCGAACAATTAATAAGTTAACTATCTAAATTTAGTTCCCTTAGCTTAGGAGAAAATGAAAGATTTCTGTGTATCCTTTTCAAACCCACCACTAGCTACACTTTTTTTTCCTGCTCAAACCATTGCACACTCTCCTTTCCGTAAGCAACCGGAAATCTCAGTACACCAGTAATGATACTCATCCACAAGCTCGTCATACATATATCTTATTTGGCTAGAAAAGCTTAAAATGCAACATCAATCATGTAAATTCCTCAAATTAAGATCTACACAGTTTTTTGTACTTTTAAGGAATCAAAACAGACCACAGTGCTCATTTCTAACACACAGCAGAGTTTGATAGTCAATCTATGTTCAATTCTTGCAGGTCATGCTGACAGATTTTGGACTGGCAAAAGAGATTGATGAATCAAGCAGATCAAATTCGATGTGTGGAACTATGGAATACATGGCTCCAGAGATTTTACAGTCAAAGGGCCACAATAAAGAAGCTGACTGGTGGAGCGTTGGGATACTTCTGTATGAGATGCTGACTGGTCAGGTAATCTAAGTGTTTGCATTAGAACACTAGAATCATTCATTTTTGTAATAATGCAAAAAGCGTAGAGCATTGGACATTCTATGGAGCTTATTTGTTGTGAAATGTACTATTAATTGCATTATTTTTTAGAAAGATTTTTGTGGGGTCGTTGGAACACTGTTGACTCTCATTTCTTTCAGCCACCATTCACACATTCAATTAGAAAGAAGCTTCAGAAAAAGATCATCAACGAGAAAGTGAAACTTCTACCACGTCTGACCAGTGAAGCTCACTCTCTGCTGCTCAAAGAAGTATGTACAAATTATCAATTGACTGCTTGCCCAGACTTTCTTAGAAAAATGCTTGTAAGTCACCTGAATGACAACTTCCACTTTTTTCCTTTAGTTGCTGCAAAAGGACGCATCAAAAAGATTAGGCAGTGGACCAAGAGGAGGGGATGAGATCAAAAGTCACAAGTGGTTCCGGTCAATCAATTGGAAGAAATTAGATGCCAGTGAACTACAGCCTAAGTTCAAACCAGATGTAATTGGCAGAGCTTGCACTTCCAATTATGACAAATGTTGGACTACGATGCCACCAGATGACTCACCAGCAAATACTCCGACAGCAGGCGAACACTTTCAAGGTTACACTTATGTAGCACCAAATCCTTGGCTCTCCTCTAGTTGATTAAGACTGACAATAATTCCAACTCCTTTTGTTTGCTAGTGTAAGCTCATTATTTGTTACAGAGAGGATCATGAGAAATATATGGATTAGATTGTATCTTGATAAAAGCAAACTCTTCCAACTCTTTTGTTTACTATTGTAAGCTCATTCTTCTTAGGGACAAGATGTGAGAAATAAACACATTTGTCTTTTCGCGTAGCTCTTGCGTTTTATATGTTCCCTCTCAAGCCTATTTGATTCTGCTCTCGCGAAATTGTATTTTCTTGAAAAAATGTTTACTGCAAGTGCAAGAGAGTGTAAGAATGTGTTCACAGACGAGCTTTTCCACCACAATCATGTTGCACCATTGTAGGATCACATGATGGAGGATGGTAATTGCGAGTTTGATCAAAAAAAGGATAGAGGATGGTAGCTATGGTCTACACTCTAAAATAGTATCTCTAGTTACCGGGGATGTGGGATTGTACTTTGCTTCCTCATCAAAAAGTATCTCTAATTAACCAAGTTAACTGGACATCAACTTGCCTAAATTTTCACTTGAGGTATTGAGAGAGTGCATGTGAAGGCAATCTTAAAACAAGAATCTTTGACATTTAATTTCATGGTTGATATTCAGTGAACATGGAACTTTAGCTGCCAATATTCCAGACTGTACGGTCATTAGTTCTCACTTATGTGATGAGTTCCTACATTTCAATTTCAAATTGCAGTTTTCTGCCATCCAAGTAAAATCTAGTCTAACACAAGAATCTAGTTGCAATGCCTAACAGCAGCATCACAAATAAAACGCCAATACTTCTTCAAAAACGCTAACCAAGTTTAATATAAAGGCACTGATTTGTTTTATGTCCAAATCATTTACCTGCAAGGCTAGACCAAACTGCAATATCCGCAATTGAGAGGATATGTCCAACAAGAAATGTGCACTGCAGAAGATATCCATCAACATAGCCACATGCTTCCTCAAATTGAGGGCCAGAAGCAAAAATAGGAGCATACTCTAGCCATTCATCTATCTGCAACAATGACAGAGAAAAATCAGAACACAGAGAAGCATAAAAATCACGTATAACTCTTAAAATGGCAAAAAGCTCTTTTGATTGTGTTCCAAAGTTCTCATTTGAACTTTTGGAGAACAGCAAATAGCTCTAAGTCAATGCTTTGGACAGCAGAGTTTAAAAGGCCACCTGACAAGACTCAAAGGCGTCTCGCTGGTATAAATCAGGAATGTTTGCAACCCGACTAATGTACCTTAGAAGCACAGAAGTTCCCTGCAGCTTCAATCTGCAAAATAGGTTGAGTTAAGATACTAGAGGAGAGTTGGATGACGGAAAGCTCGATCATTTTAAAAAATAGCTTAAGATCATTTTCTTGCATTTGGTATTACAACAAAAACCTCTAGCATAGCTAAAAAATGACATGCCTTTTTTGGAAGAAAAAAAGAGTAAAGAGCACATTACAAAAAACACAGAACGACACACCCAAGAGCAACGGGAAATAGATACATAAATTTAATTTTTAAAGATGGTCAATTGGTTATTCTAAACACCATGGAATCAATATGTAAATTACATCAAGGGCTATATCACTATTGACTATTGAGATTCATCTAATAACATGATTGACAGATCAATTTACAGAAATGCATTTCTTTAATGTTTGTCAACCCAATACGTATTAATGGAGGATGTCACATGCACCAACAAAGAAGTAGAAGCCTGGTGGTCAAACCTGACACTACTTTTTGCATAACGTAAGTAAATGGTAGCACGTGAATAATTGAACTTGAGGGTCTTGGATATTGCATGTAAAACAACAGTGGAACACCAGAAGATACATAGAAATAAACTGAACCATCCAATACAATTTCATCCTAAGAAAGTGTACAATGGATTATTTGGCTCTGGACGATAGGTTCAAACAACACAAGCCACCAAGAGACCTTCATCACGTCAATTAATTGGCACCATTTCCGTTTTTGACCATTTGTCTGACCCAAAAGACAGTCTAAAACACGACCCAACCATAACAATGTTCTAATATTTCACTTCAGCTGAAGTTTATGTATCACCATTCTCAAAAAGGAAGAAAACAATTCTCTGTACAGACAACTAACTGATCTACAAAGCTGCTGCTATATGCATAATTAAGTTCCGACAATACCATTGAAACCTACAACCAAGGTTAACTTACCCTATCTGGATCAAAAAAGATGTGTCATTTTTATTATTTTATGATCTAATTCTTGCCTGGTCCATGACTCATAAAAAAGATTTACAAAATAGTGGCAATCAAAATATGTGCAGGAAAAAGAAAACAAACATCTATAGTTTTGCAAGTCAATTATTGCGAAAAGTAAGGCTAAATATCGGAGAAATTGAGAAATTACCCATTAGGGAGAAGGATAATAGGAGGAGAACCAGGAGAAAGAGTTGGATCAGTAGAGAGTGGAACTCCGGCAATCTTCGCCGCCGCAATAACAGCCAAAGGCGGAGTATCCGCGGGGAATGCTAGCTTCAGCTCCATTGCTCGCCGACGCTACCCTACAATTCTCCCCACAGCTGAAAGATTATATATAGAGAGAGAGAGAGAGGAGAGCAAATGAAACCAGCGGCTAGTGATGGCAATGGTTTAATGACTGAAACCAGCGGATAGAGGGGCAGGGCAAAAGCAGGGCGGGGCAGGGTA